GCCTAGCCTGTGCGTGGGATGATGAAAATTTCTGGCTCCAAACCATTTCCCAAAAATGTGACTAAACATCAGGGGTTTCTTCTTTCTTGCTTTGCTTTGTTTCTTGTTTTTTTGTTTGTTTGTTTTTTTATTTGATTGATTTTTTTAAGTGCTTCTTAGTCGTGACGATATCTTTTCAGTTGCTTTACCATATTTGATACAAATTTGATTTTTGCTGGCAAAGATGAATTAGCTCCTTATTTTAAGATTTACTCGACTCCATACATAATAACTAATTAACATTCAATGGAAAATTTATGATAATTTCGAACAACGTTGACAATATCATGGGCAGAGCATGCCACAAATGAAGACGTAATAAGAGGAGGAACTGCAAAAAACTTTTGATGACATAACGAAGAGAGAAAGATTGGAGAATTTAATATTCCTAAGGCATGTCGAAGCAGAAGAAAGCGAGTAACCTACTAGAAAAATTTGATCAAATGGCTGGGTGAACAAGTGCCACAAAAGGAAAGTGTGTTCATAAATAAGCAATTTATGCCGAGAGCAATAAAAGAAAAGAAGCTGTGAAGAGCTATGTTCGCGTATTTCCTGAGGGGTCAAAGTACACAGAGAGAGAAGAGAAAAAGAAAGAAAGAAAAAACCATAAGTGGTTATGTCAAAAATGTTTAAGAAACGTATAAATGAGACATACTCATTTCTGGTTGAACCAGCCGTTTGAGTGATGGACAAATGCAATTTATAATGATTTTAAACGATCCTTTTGTTAGAATATGGACATAAACACTTCGGATAGACATAGCAGAAGAGACAGATAAAGTTTTATGGACTTGATTTGATTTGTTTGTTTAATGGTATATCAACAACTTATGGGTCATTTAAAACCAAAATTTAATCTTCTTGACAACTTTGAATTAATAAAAACATGATAAATGTTATTCTGCTTTCACAGTTGAATACATGGTAAATGATACTCAGCTTTTGTGTATATGCATGTTTGTGCGAACATGACTAGAGACAGTTATATGCATGTTTTATGTTTTGTTGAATTTATATTTTGGAATACAATTTGATTTAAGAAATTGTAGGAGATTGTGTCGATTAATGTCATGAAAGATCTTTCATGTTAATTGATGTAATGTTGATAATTTTACTATAAATCGGCATTGCTGGTATTTTTACTATAAAAATGTATTTTTATACTTTCATAATGTTTTATTTTTGTTTGGAGTTCACTATTTACCTATAGCTGGTACTCTAATAGGTAGTACCACGCCGGGTGAGGGTGAACCTGTGAACAACAGCAATTAAGAGGTGGTTCCACGCTCCTCAAAACCTCCCGATCAGAGGCCTTGCTGCCGGATGTAGTTTATCTTCATACTCAGAACTATTTTGTGGACATAACCATTGTTATACTAAAAGTCATGGTCATAAGAATTTCTGGTTGCTTTAACCCTGGATTCACTTTAAGATCTATGTTTACCTAATGTGTTTCGAAGCACAAGCTTTTTCAAAATTTTCAAATTAAACATCGTCCTCAAATCCTGCCACATGTCTAAGATAGTTGTATATTTCCTGCAGACACCAATGGTTAGTGTTCCAGCTCCGGCAAAAGGTTAGAATGTTGCACATTTGTTACCTCGGAACACAAATTTTAATTTAGTTTTGCTCTAGATTAAGCCCATAAATCG